TTCTCTCGGTTTCTATCTCTACTCTCTTCCCCAAGAACACAAAACCAAGCTTATTGTGTTGTGTTCTCTCTCCTCTAGTTTATCACTCGCCCACTGCCAACAATGTATATGTCTCAATATATATACTCACATCTTGACCTAAAGCCCTTGGATGCTCTCCACTAACCTTCTTGAATGCAATAAATGAACTCACCAATATTTTTTTGTCCATTCCAAGAAGCATGCTCTTTGCTTTTGTCTTATATGGTCAAAAGCAAAACATCTTGACTTGTGGTCCTGCATTCTTGTGGTCCTTCAACCTTGTGATCCTTTCTTGAGACACGCAAACTTCTTCTCCATGCTTATACTTGTTTTGTCTTAATCTTGATTTGCTAAACTTAACAACCTAGCAAATAAGATCAACACAAACAACGTGAGAGATACAACAGTGGAAAAACCTTTGTGATCTAGTATTGGATTCCATTTCCGGTCTCTTAGTATCATTACTGAGCCTTCATACTTAACCTCCAACATCCCCTTCACGGCCACTTGAGTCGCAGCCAGTTTCAAAACACATACTTGTGCTTAAACTCAACTCCTAACCATCTTGATGTCATCATAGTATCAACCTGATAAAACTGCTCAGCAAACTCCATTAACATGTTAAGAATCTCCAAATGTTAACTCCACAGAAATCTCCATAAGTTCCACCACTTATGAACTTCTCCAATCACATAGTATCCTATGTGGCTTCTATCCATAACTCAGAACTATTGCAGTGACTGAAAACATACCATTATACTCTACAAAACTTGATTCTCTTGCTACCTTCTAGGATTTCCTCATGTGCACTAAGATACAAAATCCTTTGACTTTACTTGAATCATATGCAGAAAACCCGAATCATATTAGCCTATAAACCCGAAGCTTCAACGATTCAACCTGTAACTAATCTCACCAACAGCTAATCCACTATAGAACCTGAGATTTACCATTACAACAACCTGTCTTAACAAACCAACCTGAACACAACCCTTGTTCAACCGTCTTGTTAAAACAGAACACCTGGCCCACTAGCAGATTTTAACCACTATTAGCAGCCTCAAACATTGTTTCATAACCACACAACCAGTGATACACCTGAAATAATTCCATTCGGCAACTCATGCATCAACTCCCAATTCCTGAAGTACTTCCTGATGCACTTCATGTTACAGAAACAGCCTGCAGCACTTTCACTCGTGTGCAAATTCCACCAAAACTTGGTACCCGCATCATTATCAAATTTCATACCCAAACCAGAGCCTTCTTCTTCACTATCATCGCATGATACTTGAAGATGATCCACTTGACTGACTCGCAAGTGTTTTCCCTAAGAAAATATTTACGTATCTCCTTATGATGCAAACAAAACAACTTAAAGCTTCATAGTTGTTCTCTTCCAAATGCAGTTGATTTCCTTGCATTTGCATCCTTGATAGGACCCCAAAGTTGCAGATACCAGCCCTGAGATAAGTTGTTTATCAAGTTAGATACACAACAATTTCACCTTCTTAAAGTGAGTAGCCCTGAAGCAGTTCCTGCTTCTTCAGAGAATCCACTGAACCACTTCAACAACTTCATCTCGGCCTAAACTTGGTGTCTTTTCTCTGAAATTTTTCTAGAAACTTGCAACTCTGTTCTGAGAACTTGCAATACATTTCTCATATCCCGTGAAAAAACACCCACCTGCTCTTGGCTTGTACTCTTCTTAGTACACTGAACTTCCATGAATCTGATACAACAGTGACTAATGCAGCCTTTTAACTCATTTTTGTTAAGCTAATCACAAGCATATATTGCTTGTAGGATCTGAACACCAGAGACAACCTCCAAATAAACATAGCTCCACTAGGAAAAATCTCTTTTGAATATCCATTGCTTTTCTTGTAGCAACAATACTCCACCTGTAGCGCCAATACTGCACCTGTAGCAGCAACACTATACCTGGAACCATAGCCACTTGAGCATGTGTCTCTTTAAGCTCAACTCCACCATTCTGAGTTAAAACACTCTTCATTGTATCATAAATCCATTCATATGTTCTTATGAATCAGAATGAGCCACCATGGCTTCTTGCTTAAGAAAGTGTGTCAAACGTGATACACATACTCATTTCTCCTTGCGGCCACTCCAAACTGATTCATATGTACCAAATAACCACCAAGAACCTTTTTCTTTTCCAGCAGCGTTGTCTTAAACATGCCTCAATCCCAAATCACAAAATCTTGTACCATCCTGCAGCAAATCAACATACACTTGTCTTGTACCGCTGTTTGTTTGAATAAACAGGACACACCGACTAACTCTCTTAGTTAGGAAGACTTTTGACACAAAACATAGTATATCCCATTGCCTAAGAACATTGAGGGACATACGTAAACTTGATGTCTCCAACGTCTTTATAACCTCAGATTCCCCTTCATAGCATGAAGAAACCTGATACAATACAAGATCTTCTCTGAGAATCGTAGCTCCACCTGTCACATTTGTTCTTTCAGATTCATTCCAACAGAATTACCATGTGTTACACCAAACATAAAACTGCACAAAAAACGAAACCTTTGCTACTGTTACCTTATCAAGAGCTTACACTCTTGAATCACAAAGTCAAACACTTCCCAACTTACTCCAAAGCTCACACCATCAGTGTGTATCACCTTCTGTTTCTGCAGAAGTTTTTCTGTACGAGACTGCTTCAGATACTGTTTCAGATCACAACAGATTTAACAAATATCACTGCATTACCCCTGAAACAACCAGCCTTGTAGCTTCACGTCACTAATAATCCACCAACTATAGACTCTCATAAGAACCAGAACTGACAGCTACACACACAGAGACAAACCCGCAACAAGAAACCCTTTTCAACACTCAACCAAAAAACCCACTGAAATTTCCTTGCTTGATAACCATTCTGCAACACCCTTTAACCTGATCCAAGAACATCCTTACTGATACTCACACAGCCATAAAACGTACATAAGATTCAAGGTTCTAAGGCGTCCCCTAGTTCCATGAATCTTATGAGTTACCYYGCTGGAAACAAGAMAKCWAGAACACCYRSTYRAACTGAKTTTGCCAAACTGATTCAACCAGAAGATACCATGAAGAACCATCACTGAATCTTGGCCAAACCCTTGTAAAACCAGTACATAACCCTTGTGTTCCAACAAACTTCATTCCCAATACATATGCAGAACTTGAGCAAACCTGAAACTTCAATACATAGCATCACAAAACACCTTGTGACTGCAGCGAAATCAAACTTTAAGTCTCCCATAACTTGAGTCTTGAAGTTGATGTTTCAATTCTGATACAGAGCCTTGAGTCACAAAACTTGTACTAAAACTCTTCAGAATCAAACCCAGCTGATACTTGTGACAGACCTTCAGCTAACACCAACAAATGATCGGCTTATTCAGCACTGATAAAGAACACCATCTTCGATCAAATGCTTCTTGCTTCATCTCTGATTTTTTTTTTCAAACTTTTGCTTGCAACACTTCAACTTGTGAGTCATCTGAATTTCTCTCACAATGTTGCACGTTAATGTATCTTAGAGGCAACCTAATTTCATAAACTTGAAATCACCTCACTTGATTCAAACTTCTACCATGAATCCTTGATACATCTTGTTCAAATCTCTCTTTCAAACTCAGTTACATACCATAACCAGAGCTAACCACGTTTTCGACTACTTAAGCATCTCAAGAACCCTCTGTTACTCCACCTAAGATCTAGCTAGATCTTACATGTAACAAAAAAAAAAGATCTTACCAAACTGTCTATGAACCTGTTTCAGAAATCTGCCTCAGAGACTCCTTCAGAACCTTTTTTTTTCTTCAATCTCTTTGTTCTTGAGTGAGATGCTTCAATAATAACCAGAATGAGTCTTACAACTCCTTCCTCTCACGTGCTATACACCAAGAGATAGCTTGAGACAATATTGTCTCCACAATCTTCCTCAACATCTGAGAAACACAATGATGCTCCCCAAGAAAGAGTCTTATGGCTCTTCCTCTCTTCTGCATCGTTTACCAAGAGCTTTTGATTTGTTCTTCAACCTGAGACGTTGCTTGTCTCTCCACAACCAACCAAGCTCTTCAAAAAAATGACCATGGATGCTTAAAGAAAG